TGAAGTATTAATGTCAATTTTTCATTCACGTTAGTCCTTGGGGTGTGTGTCCTCCTGCTCGACAGACCGTTTCATGTTTTATTCCAGTGTTCGACGCAACTCAAAAGGCGGGGGGGGTGGATTAGGAGGGAGTGACAGATTTGGGGTCCTTGCGAATTGACAGCAAACATCACAAACCCCAATGTTTTTTTTTTCAAATGTTTTTTTAAGCAGAAGTGCGGGAGGAGGTCAGGCCCTCATCTTGCCCGCTTCCACGGTCTTACGTACGAATATCGCGCTCCACGCCGACCTGCTTGCGTGTTTCATTGTCGTCTCACTCCCTCCACCCTGCCTTCACGCCTGCAGCTGCTCCCTGGCTCACCTCTTGTTAGGGGAGGGGGGGGTTGGGGTTTCGACAGCCCCGTCCCTACGGCTGGGTTGTTACGGTGTGATAATACTATATCGTCTGATTATGCAGCACGAAGAAACTTACAAAGCATTCTGTGCAAACAGTACAAGAAACTATGACCTGGCATTACAGACATCCACCCAAACATATTCATTTCACTCCTACGGGGATCCGCACAGCTCCACCAGGATCCTATAAATGTATTCACTCTGTTGTTGTCCTCAGCCAAGCGCAGTACCCCTATTTAAAGCTTGCTCTTGGGGTCACTGCTGTTCTACGTTTGACAGAACCCCTGATGTATTTGTAACGGTACGTGAACCGAATCAATCTCGTTGCCCCCTCCACCACACGATCTCAAAGGCGTAGTGAGGTCTGCGCCTCTCCTCTCCCACCTCATCCCTGACAGCTCAGCAAGCAGGCCTGACAGCTACAGTCAGTGAGTCATCCTCGTGAAACGAAATGTCTCGACACCCCCAGCGCAGCCCGTGGGAGTGTGCCGGGGTGGAATATGTGCTGCGTGTAGGATGCTATCTCTGACTGCTTTTCCCTGCATCACACGTTGAGTTATCACACAACTTGTCGCCATATTGTTTGGACTGCGGCGGTTCACTTTACAAGTGATGGCCTTTTAATTCCTTTATCGTTCTTCATGCTTAAAAGTGTCTCTTCAAGGATGACCAACAGAAAAAAAAAAGCCGATTTTAATTCCTTCGGAGGATAGTAGTTTGTATTTTGGGGGTTTAATTTCAGTCTCCCACTCTGGAGCTGGATGCGCGCTCAATGGGATTTAAATCCCCTGGTGAACTCTGGTATTTTCTTGCAGACAAGGCGGACAAGATGTTTCTGTGCGCTTCTGAAGTGATTCTGCCGCTACGATCATGAGTTACATCACCGATAAAGATGCGTGAGCCAGTTCTAGAGGCGGTCATGCCCGTCTGAGCCACGACACTGCCTGCGCCACGCTACACGGATGAGGCGGTGCTCTAGATCATCTGCAGTTTGTTCCTTTCTCCACACTTTCACCTCGCCATCACTGGGGCAGAAATGTAGATTTGTCTCATCTGTCCATGACAACTCTACTGGCTCATCTCTGTGCTTTTGAGTAAATTGTAAACTGGTATTTCTATTGTTGTTGGCGAGAGAGGTTTGCATGAGACAGTGTGACCTTCATAACTCAAGTCCAAGTCTTCTGTGAACCATAGATTGTGATACCTTCACCCTCGCACTGGGGAGGTGGTTGTTCTGTTTTTCTTTAAAGCTGCGATTAATTTCATCATCAACTGCAGTTGTATTCCTTGGCCAGCCTGGTCATTGCCAACTGTGAAGTACACCAGCGGGTCCTTTCTTTTTCAGGATATTCCAAATCGTTGATTGTTATGCCTACAGTAGTTTCAATGCTATGGTTCTGACTGAATTCTTCTTTTCCTTCAGCATCCAAAATGTTTGCTTCCCTTCCACAGACAGTTCTCTAGTCTCCATGTTGGCATTGGCCTCCTGACTCCTGATTTCAAAGGGACCAGCGAAGGCTAAATCCAACACTACACACTCGCAGCTCTGTCCTGTTGCACAGTCAATGCAACGGGAAACACCTGACCAATAAGAAACTCCTGGCAGCCAACTGTCCTGCCACCCTCACCTGAAACCGGGGGGATTGAACACAAAAAGTGCCATTATTCTAAAATGGCACAACATATAAATACCCAGAAATAATATAAAAAGAGACATTCTGTAGTTTTGCCCCATATACATATTCATCTTTTCATCTCAAATCCAATTTGTTGGCACATACAGCAAAAATAACCATTTTGAGGTCATTGGCCCTGTATTTCTGGAGGGTACTGTACGTGAAAAATGGCTCCGCTGCTCAGCTCATCACCACGCCTGGCCTCCTCAGCAGTGATAGACAGCACCTTTGTGGCCAAACGGGGATATTCCCGCGATTCGATTTCTTCTACACGTTATTTCAGGCCAGCGTGCACGACAGACCACTATCACAACCTGTGATCTACAAATTGTAATTGGACAGGTACAGAAAAAGAATGTTTCAGCTCTGGGGCCTTGAATTCTGTAATTCATCTGGACATACTACCCATACTAGCAAGTGTGGATAAAGTTTGGAGAGCTGTTTTTCAGCTCTCTATTAAGATAAGATCACTTTATCGGCCCTATACAATTTCTTGTATTAGGAATTTGTCTGCACAGGCGCAGATCCTTAGCCACTGCACTGCCCACATATTACAGCATGTGTCCATGTTCACCAATATGCCAATGCTGTCAACACAGCAGAGGCACTGGATATCAAGGAATTAATGGCTTTTTTTTCCAGATTTAGATGATGCTAAAAGGTTGCTTTCTGCCAAAACTGTGAAATGCAAATGTTAATTGTGTATCACATCCAAAGATTCATCAAAAGAATAGGAACTGTTTTACATGTTCTATTGTTTTGTTTTTTTTAAAAAGGCATTACACTTTTGCATTGTAACAAAAGGAAAGCGCTTCACTCATTGAACTGTGACCATGAATCATTTCATGAACCTTTTGGTGTTCACACTTCACTCCCTGCCTCACAGGAGCGAGGTGAGAAAAAGGGATTTTATTATAGTTCAGAAACGAATGCAGAATCTTCCCTTTATTCTCTGAAACGGAAATCCCTTGCAGAAGACATGCTCAGGCCCTAAGACAGGAATTCACAGAATCTGTAACCTGGTACCTGGTTAAAAAGCAAGTCTCACAGATGTACAGCTTGTATTGTTACCAAGAGGAGCCACACCACTAGACTTTCACAGTAGATCTCTGGTCATCAGTCCTGCTGTCAGTCAAAATGTCAGTAAGCTTAATTCATTTACCTATGTCATGTTGTACATACCTATGAACACACACACAACCGAAGAAGGCTCCACAGCCAAATGGTTGTGTGTTTCTGCTCTTTTCAGCAGGGAATAAACCCTTTACTTGTTCCTTTGCAGTCTTCGCATGCTGACGCAGCTCCCTACCCGAACTACTATAACTATGTATGTACCTTTACATTAAAATGGTCAGTGCACCTGCTTTAAGAAAAGCTTTCTGCATGTTATTGGTAACTTGGTGAGGCCATTATGCTGGTCCCCATGACTGATAGAGGAATAGAGGAATAGAACAGGAATACATCATCAACCATCCTTCTTATTGCAACAACATTGTGCTGTGAGAGTCCTTGTTCGAATCAGACTCAAAGGCACGTTCTGTCCAGGTGGGCTAAGCTCTGCAAGAGCCCTGGACTTGCGACTTATTATTTAATTAGCTTTTGTTATCTTGTCCATTTTCTTACCTCTTTATCCAGTACAGGGGCAGGAGGGAGCCAGCAATGGGCACAAGGACAAAATACTCCCAGACTGGACACCAGTTCATCACAGGACACACACAGACAAGCTCACACTTACCCCTGATGATGAAACTATTCATCAATAACTGGCTCAATTTACTCAGAAGCCAGTTAACCTGCCAGTATATCCTTGGACTGTGGGAGGTTGCCCACACAAACATGGGGAGGACATACAAGCTCCATACAGACAGCACCCCAGGAACTGTACCCAGGGTCCCAGTGCCGCAAGGCAGCAATAGTAACCACTGCACCAACAAGCCATCCGTTTCCATTGTAGTGATTCGGTAATTCAGATGCCATTTACTGTGGAATTAAGCTAAAAAGGTCTCTTCTATGTTAGCGATGCCTTGATTAGAACGGGGAAATTGGCTCCCAGTTACTTGCGAGCACGTTAAGAGATGGACATTACGTCCTGGTCAGGATCTGTGTCTCTTTAACCGGAGGCAGCTTTTCCCTTTGCCTTGTATAAACTGGTTTACTGGTAAGCTTTTAGGGGCTGAATGCTGGAGTTTCTTTGGTTTGTAGAAGGCAGAATACCTGTAAATACCTGTTAACAGTAGTGAAACCTTACGTATCGGTCCTTTATATTTTGTTAATAAATATTGTCCTGTCCAAGCTGAGCGCCTGGTCATTACTCTATCATCAAACAGCGTTGGAAAACACAGTGACACAGGTGCCAAGGGGCATTCAGGGGTGGAAAGCCACTGTCAGGAACCAATTCTTATGTGATTGTTATCCACCAACCCCCCCTTAACCCACTTCAACATATTGTGGAGCGCCACACAAAGACAGCCCTCTGCCTGTGTGATTGCAGCAGCTCGTCTTGCCTTAGTGGGCAGTATGGAGTGTCTGTTGCGAATGTGGACACTGGCTGTCTGTTAGTTGCTGAAGAGGTTTTGTATTAGGGTGTCAATGTGTACAAGTCCAATTCCATTGTCTCTGTTACACTACATGTGCCGTTATGTTTGGGTGACATTTCTACATCGGAGTAATGGATTGGAATAGAATTCATCCTGGACAGCTCTCGGCAGCTAAGGAACGATAATTCCCTACGTGAACACGTGGCCGACCTCCGGTCCCGCATCTCGTCCGCGTAACCCGCGTTCATTTGTGACGGTTTTCTTACCACTGAGGAAATGTCTACAGAACGTCTTCTCATCGTTTGCAGCTGGGAGAGTTGGTTTATTCTGCTCTGGAAACGATTAAGAATAACACGAGTGCATAAAAAAAAAACTTTCTTGTGGAGAAAAGTTAAAAACTTGTACTTCCTGTTCTTTATTATTTGTTTCTCACTTTGGTCTTCAGAACTTCAGATTCTGATATCATATACAATAACATAGCAGAAACTTACAGGTGCTGTGAAATAGTCGTTTACAGTAAATATACACATTTCCTTAGTGGTAATAACTGGCGATATGCACTGTCTAAATATTCTTTGAGTGATGACAAAGTCCTAACATATTTACCTGCAAACAAAATGCCCCCTGAACTGGCTCTCTCCAATACAGTCCTCTTTTCTGTGACCACTACCGAGAAAGCATTCAAGAACACTCATCACAGTGCTTAACAAGATTTAATGTACATTTATTCTTAACATGTGGAACATATAGTATAAAGATTTTATACTGAATAAATGATATTTGTTGAGCCAGAGGAAAAAGGAGGAATTTACATCAAATCTGTTCTGCTTTTGTTGTCTGAACTACATTATCAGAAATACAAATATGCTGATTTGTTTCACTGAAAAAAAATCTTTGAAGTCTGTTCTTATTCTTTCCTTTATAACCATTTGTTGTAACCACCAAGACCTAATCACTTCCACATCTGCTTAAAGGAAGCAATTATTGTGATCAGCTGTTCTCCTTAGAACAGAGCAACTTTTTACATACAGGAACTTTTACCCTCAGTAGAAGATATGACCCGAATAACAAAATATTTATAATAATAACATTAATAATAATTATAATAATTAAAAACTACCATCACTTTGTAGTTACCACATCTTTGAGAAAGAAAATAACGTACTAACCAAAAATACAAAGAAAAAAATATGAGGGTATGTTCAATGTACAACTTCTATATACATGTCAGCCCACAGGCAATATAGAAAATAAAATAAACATAATACAAGTATTAAAGAAGCTGTTGTTTTGTGGAAGGTTTAGGTTTATCAAGGTGTTGCTATGACAGTGCTAAAGTGGAAGGAAATCAGATGTTACCTCACCGTTTAAACGAGTTTTTTTTGCTGATTAGCTAATGCAACACTGTCCCCCGGTGGTCAAACTCATGTATTGCATGATATAAAAAAATATTCCCATCTCTTAGTCTCTCTCCCCCAGCCTCCAAGCCTATTTCAAACCACATTCTATTGCACGATTCATTCAGAGATGGACACATTTCATCATCCTCAGTAAAATCAACGACTGTTTTCATCGAGTGGCACGAGAACGTCGTTGTACGACGTTTTCCAGAATTTAAATAAGTCCATGAATCCACTTCCCAAAAACCCAAAGAAAAGAGAGAAATCGGTATGAACAGAGTCAGAAAAACTCTTGAGCCGTTAAAAAGAGCAAGGGAAGAAAGAAACACCTTCTCCAAAAAAAATGAGACATCAGCTTTGGTTAACACAAAACAAAATAAAAAATATTTAAAACACGTGAAACGGCAAGTATTAAATATTTGTATTAAAATTATTTTTTCTTTTTCTCCAAATTCCAAAAGGAAATAATGAATAGGGCAAGAGAGCGGGGGGGGTGGGCGCGGGGGGGGGGAGGAGGGAGAGAAAAAAAACCAAGAACAAAAAAAAGACTTTTTTTTCTTTTTTTTTTCCTTATTTAAATAAAAATAGAAAACCGCCGCTCATTCTGCAAACCCCAGCCCCCCCTCCCCACCTCCCCCCCCTCGTCTCGCGTCTACGTCGGCCCCGCCCCGCCTCCTGTCATAACTGGCCAATGTGAAAGAGTACTTCGCAGATGACAGCAGCCACCGCCGAGTTCAGCACGGAGGAGATGGAGATGTCGAGCAGCCGGCCCTCGAAGAGCACGAACTCCGAGCGGTTCTCCTCCACCCGGGCCATGGCCAGCAGGGCCTTGGCCGCCCGGCACATCATGTTGACGCTGGGGGGCTCCATGGGCGGGGGGGCCAGGTGGTGGAGGCCGTGCTGGCTCTGCTGGTACTGGGCCACGGTCACCCCGTCCTCCAGGAAGCCGATCAGGTTGCCGACGCTCCCCTTCTGGACCGCGATGGCCCGCGCCGCCAGGGTGTCGCCCTGCGCCAGGTTGGACAGGACGGCCACCGCCATCTCCCGGTACACCTGGACCTTGCGCTCGCCCACGTACCTCAGCAGCGTGGCGTAGAGCTTCTCCTGCCGGCTGAAGGGCGGCGTGGCCAGCAGGAGGTCCACGTTGCCGTCCTGGATGCTCAGCTTGCACAGGGTCTCCAGCACCAGTCTCTGGGGGGTGAGGCCGGAGCTCGGCCCCGCAAGGGGGAAGGGGTCCTGGGCCTCCGCCGACGGGCACACCATCCAGTGCAGGAGGCCGTCCAGGATGGGCAGGCAGATGCTCTCCGGGTAGACGGACAGGTCCAGCTGGCCGGCGATGTTGGCCAGCGTGACAAGGGTGTTCTCCCGGAGGGCGGACAGGCAGTCCCACCACCACTCGTCCTTGCTGCAGGCCAGGCCCCGGTCCTGCTCCTCCTCTTTCTCGTAGGTCTGGGGCGCCCTCTTCCTCTCGGGGTGCTCGTGCCGCAGCAGGACCAGCTTGCCCAGGATGAGCACGAGCCCCGGGTGCCGGGACATCTCGGCGTCGTTGCCCGGCACGAAGGAGAGGCTGCGCACGATGTTGGACACGCACACGCAGCGCCTGGTCAGCGAGTCCTGCCAGCTGGCAACAGTGGACAGGGGAGCCTCGTCCAGAGTCCTGGGCTCGTCCTCCAGGAGTCTGATGTTACAGTGGCTCTTGGCGTGGTGGATCCTGAAGGGGAAGGTGCCGGCGCGCGCCGGGAACGGATCGTCTTCCGGGAGGGCCCCGGCCCGGGTGCAGAGCACGTCGTCGATGGTGGCCATGATGCGCTTCTCCGGCTCTTCCGGCGCGCCGCCCTCCTCCGTTTCGGCCCGCCCCCTCGTCCTGGGCTCGGGGCGCGAGCTCTGCGGGCAGCCGGGGCGCCCCCTCTGCGCGGACAGCTCCATCTTGCTCTCGAAGTGGGTCTGGATGTGCTCGGTGGAGTCCCCGCCGCCGACCCGCCAGTGCAGCAGGCCGCTGTGGAACTCCTGGGCCTGGCCCAGCTGGTCGGAGCGGTCCACCACGAAGTCGTCCTCCCTCTTCACCACCTTCACCGGCAGCCTGTCGAACCTGCTGGCCTGCTTCGGCTTCTCCTCCTCTTCCCCCTCGGGGGCACCCCGGCCCTCCTGGGGCCCCGCGCTCGCCTCCTTCTCCGCCACCTCGGGCCGCGGCGCCTCCGGCGGCTCGGGCCCCTCCTCCTCCTCCTCCTCCTCCTCGCACAGCGCCTCCTCCTGGTCCCCCTCCGCCTGCGCCCCCTCGTCCTCCGACTCGCTGGAGGGGAGGTCCTCCTTTTTGCTGGGCGGCGGCTCGAGGAGAGTCTTTTGGCCGACAGAGCCGACTTCGTACTCCTTTAAGATGCCGAAGATTTCGATCAAGCACCTCCGGAAGTATTCCACTATGAGTTCTAGGAATCCAGGCAACTGAAAGGAGAAAAGGTCTTTTCATTCATCTTTTCACACAACATGACAAATTAAGGTGAGCAAGACAACCGACTCATATTCAGACTTTTAATAAGGTATACAGGAACCCAACGACCTAAATGTAAAACGAGAATGTCATAAATCATCATCTTAAAACAACAACAAAAAAAAACATTTATGAACAGTACTGCCCATGGTACAAATCAAAAACGTGGAAGACCAAACTTTAACAAAAATAACAGTTGGGCAATCTAATTTTTGTAGTAAATAAACTGGAAAGACTTTTTTTTAAATGAAAGACGCCAGTCTATAAGACCTACTGACAGCTGTTCAACGCCTAAAGTAATTGAAGTTTACAGTGAGAACTAGCAGTCTTCTCAGAAGGTGGAATGCACTTTGGATTTTCATTTCTGTCATGTTTTAAAAATTACTAACCAGATCAGATGTGGGATAATTCATCTTATCACAAATGCAAACACATAATTCTCACGAGGCAAGCAGTAAGCAAATTTCACAGCTCTACCGGGAGCCCGATCAGAGTGGGCTGACGATACGTGAAATTTGCACAAGCAGCCCAATCTTTCCTCATAATCAGGCTGTATGTATATTTATATATTTATTTTCGAGGGAGAAAAGATTTCGTTTCAACACACTGTGTCGGCAATGGAATTTTTTACTTCCAACAAATTCATTCAGTTACTTTGAAGTCCCTAATATACTGTGTCTGTCTTGGTTTTGCATCGTTGGTGTCAGCGGTGAAAATAAAAGCCCTGCAGTTTGGCAGGGCTGAACCAGATAGGCACTACTGCGCCTCCTGAGGTATATTTGAGCACCCTGGACTTTCAGGCACTTTCACTGAGGCAGTAGAGACCACCTCCCATCAACAGGAAGCACAGGGGCTTCTGGGTTATGTCTCAAACGTGCTTTACTGTAACTTGCCGGTTATCAAACCGGGGTGAGCACACCCTCCCCCAATGAGGTGTGGTGGACGGGGAGGAGTGGGTTTTGAAAAAAAATGCACGTAGGGAGAAGAAGGGTTTTGGGGATTGAATGGATCATCCCATGCACAAAAACCTCCAACATTCTCTTTCAGATCGCCACTGAAACCTTCCAAGCTTTTAAACACGCACCCACTCCTTCTTGGCGAAACTTACTACTTTGTTCGTAACAACAGCCTTAAGACTCTCCTTAAGAATAACGTGTGGTCTGTTATTCTTTCTGAAAGGGTCCTAACACTTCATTTTATGGTTGACTCTCATCTCCCAAAACCATTTCTTCAGTACGAAGTATATATAACCGTTTCTTTGATATGAACCAAAACTGGACACGTAAACTGCTGTATGTCTGCAAATATCTCTCATTTCTCCCTGAATAGAAGTGAAGAACCCAGTGGTCTCTCCCTCACGTTGTGCAGCGGCTGAAGCATTTGTAAAGACACCTCCTGCACTTGATCATCAGGGTGTTACGGATATTTCAGCAGCTGCAGCCACGCAAACACAGCTTTGTCCTGGTTTTCCTCCTCTGCAGCACCTAATCGATCAGACTGGCTCAATTGTGAACAAATTCCTATTTTCAGACAGTGAGAATCGGAGCAACTGCTTAATATCTTCTTTCAAAACCAAATACTTGAGAACCAGTGGCGTTCAGTGAGAGAACAACACTGCTCAGATAGGTGATGCATTTCCTGGCACATTCATTTCCTTGGCTGCAGCTGCAGCGAAGCTTCGATTTTGCTCTCGGTTCAGAAGTGACCCAAAAGTGAGATGTGACGAGCTTACCAGCAAAATTCAGCCCACACGGGGCTCTGCTGAGATTGACCTCCAATGTCTACAAACCTATTTGGCAAATTACTGGCTGTTTGCATTGTGACAATCCATACATCTAAGCACAATGAGTGTGCTATAAACAGTGCTCAATTGAGGTAATTAGTTCTCACCTTTTCTTTCCACATCCATTAAATCAAACTCTCACAGGTGCATGGTTGTTACCATGTGCTTCACACTGTCACCTTAAAGTTCGGTTAAGACACTCCTTTAAAGCGCCAATCTTTTGTTCCTCAACCTCCTGCTGTTCTAGTCTGGGGGAGTGTTCAGCTTCAGGCAACCGAGACTCACAACATGGGGGAGAATCATAAGAACTTCATTTTTAGCGTAATGTGAAGATTTGCCATTGGATATCAATTTGACCAATGTAAGGTACTGTGTTGGTTGCCATTGGATATTTGGCAGGGGGGCACACTGGGACTGCGAGTGTCCGTTGGTGAAGCAGCACGTTGCCCTGGTAACGGGGGAGGCAGACGGACAGGCAGTACCCAGAATTCCCTGAGGAAACATTTGGTCCTGGATCTTCTGTTTTGTTTCGGGATTAGCCCTCCTTGTGCTAGAAGAAGGCTTAATAACTTCACGCCCCTATTTTCCATTATAAACTCATCCTCCCCAGAGTCTGGGCCCGAGCTCTGGATTGATACATTCAATTTACTGTGAAAGCAGGAAGCACATGGGATTTAAGATTCCAGATTCACTCAGATAAGAACAATTTTTTTTTCTGCTTTTATTTCTCCTGCTACGACTACAGACTGGAAGAGACTGCATCTGAACTCTTTTAAATCATTACAGATCACCAAAAACGTCACTAAAGGAAAGGAAGGAAAGGAAAACAGTGTTTTTGTAACATGATTATTTTTTCTGTATTTACACTCTGTATGGTTCACTGTTAAGACTAATATTTTTTTGTGGCTTACCTTGCGTATCGTTTTTCTGCTGTAAAGCAACTTTGGACAAAAGATTCGACTGTTAAAACGTCAGACACACATTTTCATGTAGTTAATCGTTAATGGTGTCAGTACCTTGGGTGAGGGGGATCTGTTCTTTAAAAGGAGGGTGCAGAAAGAAAGGTTTGAGAAAACCTGCTGTAATTAAATCGAAAGACTGAAATCAGTTCAATCAAATAACTGCACATTGATGGTGGT